TGGAAAGCGTGGTTACTGACCTAGGCCTCATGGCTTTGATTGCCTTCCTTTATGGAGCACCTGTTTTCTTTGGGGGTGTTTCCTTCCACTGTTTCCCATCCCATAGTGTCGTTGCTATGACCTTGTAGCATTTGGAAATCAGAAAGTAGATCTCTGATAGAAGACCAAGTCTAAATACCAGTCTTTAGGGCCTTGAATGAAGAGGGCTCTAACTGTAAGTGCTCCTCTGATCCTTTGTCTTTCCTTATGCATGAGGAGCAGAGGCATTTCTAGGATTGACTTAACATTTATTTGTTAGGCCCAACCATATGCTAGGCACGGAACGTAGGAGTAAATAACACAGCCCTTGCCCTCAAGAAGCTCGTAATCAGGTGGGAAAGGAGAGTGGTACAGTTTATAGCCAGGAAAGAAGCCTTAGATTTGGGGCCTCTGGGCTGGATTGAGAAGCTTCCCTTCTGCTGCGTTTCCCTCCCCCTGGCAGTGGACTGCCACAAGGCTCCAGCTGTGGCCCTTTGCTTTTCTATTCCTAGGCTCTTTTTCAGAACTCTGCCAAGCCTTTGGAAGAGGTGGCTTTAAGTTTCACTTCCATGCTAATGCTTTTTTGGGTTCGTGTCTGTTCCCAGAGTTTCAGTTCTCAGCTGGAAACTTCCAGTTGAATATGTTCTCCAGCATTTCAGAATCAACATACCTGAAACGGATGTTAACTTTTGCCCTCTCCCCGCTAAGACCCCCAAAGAGCCAAAAAAACCCAAATCCAGTCCTGTCCCATCTTCTTCACGTGGCGTTCGCTCATTGGTTCATTCCTTCGGCACTGGTGCGCTGAGGAGCTCCTGCGTGCCGGGCGCTCTGCTGGGCGCTAGCGGTCCTACAGTGGAAGCAGATGAGTCCCTGCCTCTCGCCCTTCTGTGTCTGTGGATGCTCTGGTACCGTCTCCATACCAGCTCCGCAGTTCTCTGACACCAGTTGGGTATCCAGCAATTCAGTTCAATTCTGACACTACCTCCAAGAGTTAGCACAGACCCACAGGTTAAGGGTTCAGTCCCACAAGATGGTCCCCGCTTCAGAGGCCAGCTGCAGATGGGGTTCCCAAGTCCCTGCACTTCCGGCCAGCCAACTACAAATTCAGAGGTTCTAAGGTTGGATAATTTGCTAAAACGACTCCTAGAACTCAGAAAAGTGGTTCATGATGGCCACTTTTATTGTAGAGGATACAGCTCAGGAATAGCCGAATGGAAGAGATGCATAGGGCCAGGTGTGGGGTTGTGGGTGGCACATCAGTTCATTCAACCCAGAAGCTCCCCAGACCCTATCCTTCAGGGCTTCTCACGGAGGTTCCGTTACATTGGCCTGATTGATTAAAATATTGGCCATCGGTGATTGAACTCCATCTTTAGCCCTCTCATCAAGTACTTGGGCTCTCTGGTGACCAGCCCCCGTTCTGAAGCGAGGCTCCACTGTGAGCATCTCATCAGCATAAACTCCGGGCTGGTGGAAAGGGGTTTGTTATGAAGAACGACAGACACCCCTTTTTTACTCAGGAAATACCAAGGGGTTTAGAGCTTTTGTGCCAAGACCAGACATATATTCTGACACCACAGGGAGGCAGACAGGAAACAGATAAATAGAGAATGTCAGGAAACACTGCTTACTGTGAGGAAGACAAAACCAGGGTAAGGGCCTTGGGAGATGGAGGCGTGTTCTCGTATGTGGGGTGGGTGGGGGTGGCCTCTGAGGAAGTGGCATTTTGGCAGAGACCTTAATGGTACGAGGCAGGAGCTGAGGGCCTGTCTTGAGGGGAAAGCGGGACAGGCGAAGGTGGTGGCACACCCAGAGCGCCCGAGGCGGGAGCCGCCTGCCATGGCCCGAGCACTGAGGGGAAGTCATGGGGCTGGACCCCGGTGCCAGGGGCAGGAGACAGGGCGGGAGACATGGCGGGAAGCAGCTGGGGGGTGCGTTGGTGCGTTAGCCACCAGGGGTGAGGAAGGAGGAGGTGTGGCAGGGTCTGTTGTGACCCTGTGTGCACACAGCGGGGTTAGCTTGAACTCTTCCTCCATGTCTGGTCATTGAGTTTTAGATCATTAGTTCCCCCAGGCTGCGATTTTCTTTTTTTCTTTCTGGTAGTGGCTGAAACTCTTTCAGAATCCAAAAGCTAAAAAGTTAGCTTTGGAAAAAGGTATAAAAATGGACCTACAAATTTTGTATACAATTTCCTGAATTTTCTGGATTCCTGATTTATTGAGCACTTTGTGTAGCCACTCTTGCCTTTGGAAAATCACCGGAAGTTCCGTGAGTCTCAGCTGTAAGGATAAAATGATACTACAAATGCGAAGCACCAGGATAAAGCCTGGCACCCACTTCTCCTTTGCTGTTACCTCAGAGAGGCGGGTCGTTTCAGTGTCCCCCCACATCTCGGCTCCTTCTGGCCTCACCTCGCCAGCTTCCCTCCTTTTGCTCATGCCTTTCCTCCAGCGGCCTCCCTGGCGCCCCCCCGCTGAGCGTTCTGCTTTCCCTCTAGAGCAGTTGTGTGGGCCCCTCTTGGGTGTGCCTATCTCCACAGCCCCATCCGTTCCCCTCCTTGGGGAGGGTGCATGGCGGATGGTTTGAGTGGTTTAATACTCACAGCAGGCTCATCCTCTGGAAACCGCAGCTGAATGCCTCTGATCTCTGAGTAGCGGCTTCTGGGTGTAATGCACCTCGGCCTACGGTAGATGAACACCGTGACTCCAGGGTGGGGGTTTTCAGTTCTTTCCCTTAGTCCCGAGAAGAGGACTGCCTCCTTGAGAGCAAGCTGTCCAGAAATGGTTTTTATTTTCTGATCCCATTTCTCTCCCTTGCCCGCACCCCCCTCTTTGGCCGGAATAGGTCCCATCCTCCTCATCTTTGGAAGTTGCCACAGAGACAAGCCAGAAGAATGCAGAAGAGGAAGTCGCAGCAGCTGTAGGTGAAGCCGCAGAGCCTGTCACTGAGAAGGAGAAAGAGAACAGTCACTGTGACACCGACTCAGAAATGCAGCAGATTCTGGCACGGGTTCGGCAGAACTTCGGCAAAATCAATGTCGTGCCTCAGTTTTCTGGGGATGACCTGGTCCCTCTGGAGATGTCCGATATCGATGAAGCGCTTGAGAGCTTTTCTGAAGAGGAGGAGGTGGAGGAACAGAAGCAACCAGGAGGCGAGGAAGGCGAGTCTTGCCCGGAGTCCCAGGAAGAACACGCGGCAAATGACACCAAGGCAGTTATTAAAGCACTGGATGAAAAGATTGCTAAATATCAGAAGTTTTTAAACAAAGCCAAAGCTAAGAAGTTTTCAGCAGTCAGGTAGTATCCTCGTCTTCTCACAAATTGTGGTTTGCTCGTTCCTTTCTGAGACACTTGCCATGGGGACTGCAGCAGTATTTTTCTGGGAGGTGGAAGGGAGTTAATGCCATTTTTTAGGAAGTGGTCTGTCCATTTCTAAGCTGCAGCTCCCTGAAGTATGAGCAGCGTAGGTCTGCCTCTGACTAAGGCCCAGGGAGCTGCCGGGACTGTGGGGCGTTGCCTCCTGCCCCTGGGTTGGCACCTGATTTGGGCAGCTGAGGGGAGTGATGGGCAGCTTTGTTACTTGGCTTTTCTGTTGCAGAATATCCAAGGGACTAAGTGAAAAGGTTTTTGCAAAATCTGAAGAACAAAGAGCAGCTGAAGAAGTTGTAGAAGACACAGGTAAAGTTAAATTCATCAAACCGCTTAGCTGTGGTGTGCATCTTTAAAACTGTGGGAAATGTAACTTTAATCTCTCAACTTGGAGAGTGTGCGGTCACCCACACAGGTGCTTATCATCACTGGCAGATGACTCTGTTCTATATGCTGTCTGTCGCACAGCTTAGATTATTCACTTTTCATTCTGCACATTTCTTGGGATTAATTCGGGAAGCTTCCTGTGAAAAGAGTCCATTAGTAACCTTACAATCTAGGGGTGGGTCAGCCGTATTTTTTTGTGGGAGGTGGGATGGGTCAGGTATCTATTCTTTACTCCATTGGACTCACAGCTTCTATGTGGAAAGTGTGTTTCCGTGGCATAAATGCAAACCCTGGCGTGGCCTGCAAGGGCCTCCTGGCTTGGCGCCCTCCTGGCCACCCTCTGCTTTCCTCTGCACCGTGCCTGCCACACTCCATGTTCACTGGCCTTCTTCCTCCGACACATCAAGCTCATTCCTACCTTAGCATTCACACACAAAGTTTTGAAAGTTTGAAAGTCCTGTTTCTTCTCTGTGTGTTCGTGTGTTGTGTTTCCAGCACCTACCAAAAAGGGAAAGAAGAGGAAGGCACAGAGGGAAGAGGACCATTCAAATAAAACTCGCAGGATGCTTACATCTAGGGAAGTACGTGGTTTTGGTCTTAAACATCACCGAGGAAGTGGAGAGGAGAAACCAGTTTCCTAAGAGACACACTTTCCAAAACTGGTGGTCTGGAGTTGAATTCTCGGAACCCCAGTTCTAGGTGACCTAGTTGAGATCAGTTCCATAGGCTCAAGAGTTGGCCCAGTGGATGGCGGTCCTTGAGTTCTCGATCGCTGTCCTCAAACATGTGGACTATCCTCTAGAAGGGTCTGCTGGTTTTCTGTGGTGAGCAGAGCTGTGTAGGCAGATGGATCCCTGCCGTCAGCTTTGTAACTGGGCTCATCAGAGCTGGGGTGGGCCCTCCTGGGAAGAGAAGAGCTTGTTCCTGGAAGTGTTCACCCTAGGGGACCACTTGTCAGGAGTGCAGTAGAAGAGATTCCAGCAGGGAGGATGGACCAAACGACAGTCTAGAATGGGGCGTGTCACGAGTTACGGTGGAAGGGCACACTTGGGTCTGTGAGGGGAGCCCTTGCTTGTTACTAGCGCTGCTTCTAGTTCTTGGGGGAGCAGCACAGGAAGGGAGCACAGAGAAACAGAGGGGCCTCTTCTGTGACTTTGCCATGATTGATTGATTTTTTTTTTTTTCCTTTTGCCATTGTTTACAGCGGAGGCGAGCGGCGCGGCAGCAGCAATCCAGGAAAGTTGGTGTGCGTTACTATGAAACCCACAACGTGAAAAATAGGAACCGGAACAAAAAGAAGACCAATGACTCAGAAGGACAGAAACACAGACACAAAAAATTCAAACATAAGCAGTAACGTTTTGAAAGTTTATTAAATTATACAAAAATATACAATGAGAAACTCTTCCTTCTCTTCATGCCCAGTCGGCATTTCTAAGGCCATGATGCATTTGTTCTGAGGTTTGACAGTTGAAACCCTTCACCGGTGCTGGTGAAAATAAAGTCCCTACACCCGCAAGGCTTTAGGTGATGGGGTCCAGTGGCACTTCCGACACTTAAATGAGCCCTCTTAGTTCCTCCAGAGCGTACCCATGGCATGCAGATCTCTGACAGATACAGAGATGAGGTCTACAGAATGGAAAGGGTGGAATTCCTTTTATACTGGCAGTTAGTTTGGAACAGAGGTGTGAAAACAAGAAAATCTCAAGGATGTAGTGTATGTGGCCCAGGCTTTAAAATAGGAGGGGAAAATGCCACTTCAGCTGCCCCTCCCAGTCTGTTAGATGGACGCAGTGAGGACACAGGTACTTTACTGTCAGGGAGTCCCGGGACTGGCACATCTCAACGAACAGAGTTCTTTCCCATGAAAACGGCAGCCCAGACAGGTGATCTTAGTGGAGTCTTAGAATGCCTCAGGACACCGGGACGGGATAAAAGCTGGCTTCCAGTCTGAGATGAGAGGCACAGGGCACGTTTGACCCGGAATCCAGCTCTTCTTTTCGACCTGCCCTTCTTTCAGGGAGCCTTGGAACCTTAACAGGGATGATGTTGGGTCAGAGCTCCACTGAGGAGGGTCCTTGGCACCTCCTCGGGAATACTGCGCAACTTGAGGCACTCCAGCTGAGCGGACATGTTCGTGCCTTCCTACGTGTTGCTTGTGCAGCGTGCATGAAGGATGGCAGTCACTCATCTTGCTGCGCTAGCCCACCCTGGATTGCCCTAAATGAAAGATCTGTGTTGCTCACTTACTCTTCTGGGTCTACGAAACCAGGAGCAGCCCTGGGCCTCTGAACTTTGAGTTTAACTTAGGAGGAACAGTAAAATGCAGTCTACAGGCCATAGCCTCCTCATTAATAATTAGAGCTGCATGTGAGGTTTGGGTACCTCTCCAGTTGTTCATCAAACATAGCTAGTTAGAGGGGTATAGGATCAGGGTGTGATTTTCTGCAGAATAAGATGAACAAACCAAATCAGGGCTCCTGAGGTGCAGGCAGCTCACAGTGGACCTCGTGACTTGTATTTCTTCCCAGTAAACATTTACTTTCTCAGAAGCCCTGGCTTTGGCTGCCATTGTTGCCTCACCTGGGCAGTCTGAGACTAGGGAAGAGGCTGGGGTGGGCTTGGCGGGCAGGGGTAGAATGACCTAGTATAAACACAGAACTCCAGCATGAGTCACTAGACCCGCACTGGGGTAGGGATGGTGAAAGACCTCAAGGGAAAGACTGAGGCCACACAGCCGCCCAAGGTCAGATACAAGATGCATCATGGACCAGAAATGGGACAGGGAGGCGGCTCATTCGGCTAGAAATAATGGATAGTATGGAGCAGTGGTGGGAAGGCAGTTTCACCTGCGAGGGATATGGCAGAAAGCCTTTCTGAGTTGGCAAATCCCAAGGTTGGCCACATACAGAGACCGTCGGCTGCACCACCTTCCACTGCCCAGCCAGGAGCCTGGCTGCCAGACCTAAGTGTTCCATGCCACTGGGGCCACGTGTGACTTCTGACAAACATGTAGGTGGGGATCAGGGGGAGGGTATGGCTTGTTCACTCAGGAAACTAGCTTTTTTTTATTACAACAGGCTTAGGATGGGGTAGCAGTGCTTGCTGAGACCCATGTGGAAATGATCACTTCTTTGGTGCAATAATGCCTTCCAGTTGGGCCTGAAAAACAAAAACAAACTCCATTAATACTTGAAGCTTGCAGCCTTCAGCTGAGAGGTGATAAAGTCCCTGGGAAGAAGAATCCAATGCTGCCCCGCCAAGTGTTTTTCCCTCCATTCCCAATTCCGTATTTCCTAGATTAGCTGGTTTCGGGCTTGGCATCCAGTCTTGCTACATTAGGAGAAACCAGAGCTGTCCTGGTTTCCATACAATAATGGCGCTGCGTAAAATATAAAGCACTGAAAAGGAAATTGAATAAAAGTTGTTGAAGTAGTGGTTTTTTATGGCTCAGATTTCAGGCCTGAAATGCTAAGGTAAACATCTGGCTCTCTGGTTTGGGATCCTGGGAGCTCTGTGCTGGGACGAGAGGTTTTGGAAACAGCCATTTTTCAGCCACTTAGACAACTTGACACCCAATTAGAGAAAATTGCTACCAGTAAGTAGGGAGCTGTCCATCTTGTATGTAAAGCTTAAGACACTTGGGAGTTATTTACTCTGCTCCTCCGGCAGCCAGTAAAACAATTTACTATCATGGTATGTGGACAGATCTTTAAGTAGGTCTATCCTGGGGACAGCAAGCACTGCTTTATTTGCAGTGCAGCTTGGAGCCAATGAAAATAACTCACTCCTAAAGAGTCCTTCACCCTGGGGATGACAAGGTTGCTTGGAAATGTTAGAAAGATGCCAAGGTGTTCCGCTTTGCTCCTGCTGCTGGTACTGTAGGAGGAACTGAGGAACTCGGGCTTATGATAAAGGAACATGGCAGATAAGGCACGCAGCTTCAGAAGCTGCTAAGTAAACAGATTCATGTCTGGCTGTGAAGTTTCTAGCTTTTCTTTGTTAAACTCAGCAACAGGAAAACCTGTTGTCCTGCACTAGCAGTTCATACAAGCCCTTCCTTATCTCAAATGCCTGTCCTCCTTGGAGCCCCAAGAAGCCTGCCAGTCACAAGAATGTAAGCTTTCCATGAGACTAGGGAGGAAAGGGAGACAGCATCCAGGGGCCCCTCTGATCAGGGCCATGGAAGACTGCCACCAAACATCAACAGGTCCTATATGTAGAACAATGGTTCTCAAACTTCAGTAAGCACCAGAATCGCCTGCAGACCTTGTTAGGCTGTTGGGCCCCAACCCCAACGTTTCTGATTCAGTCGATCTGGGATGGGCCCAATGACTTGTATTTCTAAAAGTTCCCCGGTGATGATGCTGGTCTAGGGCCCAGCCTTAGAGAAGTTTCAGATCCCACAGAGAGCCTGGAGTTTCACACGCCTGGCCCCACTCCAGCTCAGCTGGTTAAATGTAAACCACTGGCAAAGGGACTTTGAGGAAAAACACCTACCGTTGAGCTCCTCTGACCACACACCTGGGGAAGGTTCCTAATTTGAAATGGTTCTTCCCTCTCAAAGGGCCTTTCCTGCCCGTCCCAAATGCCATGCCTCAGAAGGGCTGCAGGCGGGAAAGGCCTCCCATGAAAGCCTGCTGAAGAGATCCAGCCCATGCTAGGAAGGCTCCAAAATATCAGCTGTCATGGGAGAGAAGTTCCACTTTCTGCCATATCCACCTCTCCTGGAGGAGGGGCAACTTTTTTTCAAGGGAAAACAAACCCTCCACTGCAGAGCCGGGCTGAGGTGTTGTGGGAATCCAGGGCCAGATGCACGCAGAACCTGCATAGTGAACCCTCACCCCCGCCCCCACATCAGCTCCCTTCACTCCTTCACTCCTTGGCAGTGCACGGGGACAAGTCTGCTGAATCCTCTGTAGGAAACGGAGCCGCCTGGTCCCCTGCACGGCTGGGGGGTGGCAGGCAGGAGCCCCTCCACCTGGGCCTGCCGTGGGGGAGGCTGGGGAGGGGGAGCCCACCTTCAGCTGCTGATTCGTGCGCTTGAGGAACTGAATCTCCTCGTTGTGCTTCTTCTCCTCTACCAGTCTCCTCTCGATCTCCCGCTTCTCGGTGGCCTCACACTTGGCCTTCTGCTCGTTCACTTGCCTCTCCAAATCTCTCTTTTCCGTTTCCAATTCTGCAATCTGAGGACGGAAACTCGGGTCATCCTGGGCCTCCGCCAAGAGGACAGGGCGGTGTGAGTGCCTGGGTGGAGGGGACCTCGGATGCAGCCATCCAGGCTGAGGGTGCCAGGGTCTGTGCTGCCACCCAGTGGGAGGCTGGTGACTGGCAAGCACCAGGCGGGCCCGTGCACTCTGAACCCAGGGGTCCCCACTGACTGGATGGCCAGAGCCCCCTCGGAGGCCAGACTTTCGTCTGGAATGGCAACCCTGTGGCCCTGAGCTGGACAGAAGAGTTCACGGAGGGCGGAGGCCTCGTGGTCAGCCCCACTCACTTTCCTCTCCATGTCGGACTTCCCCTGCTCGGCCTGCAGCGCCTTCCTCATGCCGAAGGCCACGCTGCTCTCGTACAAGGTCTGGTAGGCGGCGATGGTCATGCGGATCTCGTCCCGGACTCGCAGCAACAGCAATCCCCTCTCCGCACAGTTGATGGTGACCTCTCGGATCAGCTCGTCTTCCAAAGCGCACAACAAGGAGTTCAGGAGGGCAGGCGGGAGGGAGACAGCACCACGTCTGGGGCTCACCGCCCTTCCTACCGGGGACGGTGTAGCGTGTGTCCTCCCCACTCGGAGACAGAGGCCCCAGGAGCCTTGCCAGACAACTACTGCTCTGAAGGTGGCACGTGGGAGGATGGGCAGTCGGCGAGCCCAGGGCGGAGGGAGACAGGAGCCCTCGGGTTTGCTTGTAGCTGGGAGGCCCCCTTACCGACCCGCAGGTAGAAACCCCAGGGTACGAGTCAGAGAAATCGGACTTTTCAGTCTGAGGATGGTGGCTGCTTTAAGGCAGCTGGGAAATCCTGTGTGCCCCAGTGCCTGGACGGGCTTGGGGCTGCCAACAGTAGGACTCAGAGCTTGCCCACACATCTCTTCCATGGGTGCTGACCATCGTCATACTCAGACTGAAGGGAGCCTGCTGGCCGCAGGGTTGGCGGCAGTTTGAATGTCAGAGTCCACACGGGCCAGTGAGTTTGGGCTGGGGGACAGCCATTTGACACTATCACTTAAATCTTTTGTGACTGTCAGTTAATAGCAAATTATCCCGAAATATTTTTCTGGGCCAAGGGCTGAATGTTGATGGATGGATATAAATACAGAACATTTAGCCTTTCTGATTAAAAAACTAACATGCTTATTATTAAAAAACTATTTTTTTAAAATTCAAAATGGAAGTTCTCGTCTTCAAACATTTGCTAAGAGGTTAGGAACTGGGGGGTCAGGTTGGCTGGCAGATGACGGGGATGGGGGCACATTTAGCAGATCCTGGGGTGGGGGTTGGGGAGGGGGAGAAAAAATGACTCCAGGATGGGGTGGGCTTCAGCTCAGGGATACTCAGGGCTTGGGTTTGTGCTCAAGGGGAAGGGCAGGAGGTGGGAGAGGACCGCGTATCCCCCCAACGCCAGCCCGCGCCAGGCCACTCACCGAAACACTGCGAGTAGAGCTCCCTGCGCACGGGGCAGATGCCGGTCTCTCTGGCCTGCCGCTGCTGCAGCTTCAGGTCCAGCTGCTCCTGGAGATGCACCACATCCATCCTGGTGCTGGGGGTGCTGGACACCTGCTGGATCCATAGCTGCGTGTCCTCCACCCATTCCCTGTGGCACAGACACAGCCAGGCTGAGCAAACCTACAGCTAGAGGGGCCTCGGGACGTGAGCAAAGATGGCCCTTTGGGTTCTCTGCCTGAGCAGGAACAAAGGGGCAGCTCTGTCACCAACCCACCAGAAGCTTCCATCCCTCTCTCTTCCTTGGGGAGTGTGGGGCTCCATAGCCACACCCACTAAGCCACCTCCACAGGGCCTCTACCTGGGAGCTGGGCAATCTCTACCCTCCTATGGCTCTCTGTGCAATCACCACCCATGTTCCAGATCTTACCCTCCTAATGGGTTGAGGACAGATTCATAGACCTTATTGCTTGATTGGAAAAGAAAGCCCAGTGAGAATTCCCCACTGACTTGTGGGGTGGGAGACACAGGGCACCATAAGCCTTGTGCCAGCCAGAAGGGGGCAAAAGTGTGCAGTGGGGAGCTTCCTGAAGGCATGCAACTATGTGGTCCCCTCCCCGCTCACCCCACCCCCCGCCCCCCAATAAACCTTGTGTCAGAGGCTTGGCCAGGTTCCGGAATCACAAGGAGGGAGCCGGAGGGTAGAATCACCATGGGGAGAGGATTTCCATTTATTGACGGGAGGGAATCACCTGAAAAATCCCCCCTCCCTTCTTTGACTTCCATCTCGGACGAGACGGCAGTCACTCTTTTCATTACAGTCTTAGAAACTGTGCTGTCAACTTCTTACATAAAAATAGTTGACTAAGCATGTCAGATAGTGATACACGTGGCTGCAGAAGGAGGGAGCAGGGTAAGGGGATGGTGAAGAAGGGAGAAGGTGCTCTTTTATAAGGATTCTCAAGGAAGGCCCCCTTGAGGAAATGACGTTTGAGCAAGACCTGAGTAAAGAGACAGAAGGGGATGATGTGGACATTGGGGGAAGAGTATCCTTGGCAGTAAGCACAGCAACTGTCAAGGCCCTGAGGTGGAAGGGTGATGGAAGTATTCCAGAGACAGCAGAGGCCCCGGTGGCATCAGCACACTGAACAAGAAGGAGAATAACAGGAGACAAGATCATGGATATATGAGGGGCCAGATCGTGCCAACTCTTGCAGGTCATTGTAAGGACTATGGATTTTAGTTGGAGTGACATGGGAAGCCATTAAAGAGTTCCTGGCAGAAGACTGGCATGATCTGGCTTAGGATTTTGGGGCTGTTTGGAGAATAGATTGTAGGGGCAAAGAATGGAAGCAAGGTTTTCAGATAGGAGACCACTGTAGGTGACAAACAGTGACGAGGAACAAAATGGTGGAAGGAGAGGGGGTGGAAAGTGGTTAGATTTGGGATATAAATTTGAAGGTAGAGCCAAAATAATTTGATGAAGGATAGGACATGTGATGTGAGAGACCAAAAGGAATGAAGGGTGGCCTGAGCCACTTGTAGAAAGGAGAAGACTGGGGATGAGTAGGTTGGGAGAGGGGGACATCATGATTTAGTTTGGACATGCTGAGTTTGAGATGCCCAGGAGACACCTTCATGAAGATAATGAGGAAGCTGTAAAATACATGGGTCTGGAGTTTAGAGGAAAGGACAGGGCTGGAAATACACATTTGGGAGCCATCAGCATGTAGGTGGTATTTAAAGCCAGGAGCCTGTTTGAGCACTCAGGAAAAGAGGAGGATAGAGAAGAGGTCTCCCCCCACCCTTCCAGGATCCAGCCATCTGCAAGCTCTAGGAGTTCTGGGATGCTGGGAGGAAATCCTGGCCAGGAACAGAGAGACAGGGTGCCTCTTCCTACATTCCCAAGTTCTGGGATGCAAAGCCTGGGCCTTCTCGAAGCCACTGCACCTATGTTTTTACCTTGGGGGTAGGATGGCATTCAAAATTTCTTCTGCCTGCTTTGTAGGATCTGGGACACAAGAAGTTGAGGGGAGCTTGGTCTTTGGTGGCTGTGGGACTGGACCGGAGGGTCCAGGCTGCTGGGGGCTGACTTTCAGTGGCCGTGCCTGAGAAGAATGGACAAGTTAGGGCAGGAGGTGATTCAGACACTGAACTCCACATATCCAAGCCCTCTGGGTTGCCCCAGGTCTTCTAAACACCCTTCCCCTCTTCCCAGCTCACTTTCCCCATCTCTCTTCTCAGAAGTTATGTCTCAGCTGAAGGAAGCCATGAAGTCTTTGGTCCCATCCCAGCCCAAGGCCTGTATCTCCTGGAACCAATGTTTCTGGCACAGGTGCTCAACCCTCTAGTGATGGAGCGAGCAAGCACTACCAGATCTATTCTTGGACCAGACTACTATGAAAAAGAGTGAGCCCCATCCATCTTTGTGCCTTCCTTCCTCATCCTAAATCTGCTCTCTGGGGTCACCCATCTGCGCTTCTTGTGCCGCTCTCCCATCTTCCTTCCCCCGTCCCAATTCCCTTTGCTCCCAGTTGCTGCAGCCCACGTCTCTCGGGACCCGGGATCCTTATCGCAGGGATCTTTCCCCATCGGAGCTTCCGGGCTCCCCCGCCCCCTAAGACCCGTCCTTACTTTGGGGCTCCGCTTCTCCGTATTCCGGCTCACCAACACCGGGGTGTCATACTTGAGCAGAGAGTCCGCAGAGGGGATCATGGCGGCGACGGTGGTAGTAGCCCGGCCGCGGCCCCTCGAGTGTGCGCCTTGTTTGCCGTCACCATGGAAACCTCCTTTCCCCTCCCCGTGGCCTGGGCGGGGTTTCGGAGTGGGGCGGGGCCAGCAGCACGGAGTTTCCGCTCAGCCTCCGTGAAAAATTCTCCTTGTGCTTACCTTATCTGGGTTCCTGCTCACCAGGTCGCCTTGATACTCTTGGAAACATGCAAAACAGGAGTTCGAGTCCCTGCGCTGCATCTCGCTCGCAATTTGAATGAGGTGGCAGATCCCCTTAGCTGACCCCCAATTTTGTCACCTGCAAAATGGGAGTCATGTGACTCCTCAATGAAGGCTTGGGGAAGATTCCCAGAGGAAGGCATCTGGAGTTCCCAGGTTTTAAAAAGTATTTGTTTTGGGGGCGTCTGGCTGGCTCAGTCAGTGGAGCGTGAGACTTTTGATCTGGGGGTAGTGAGTTCGAGCCCCACCACTGGCTGTAGAGATGACTTGAAAATAAAAATATTTTAAAGAAAGTGTTTTTAGGGGGCGCCTGGGTGGCTCAGTCCTTGAGCGTCTGCCTTCCGCTCAGGTCATGATGTCAGGGTCCTGGGATCGAGCCCCGCATTGGGCTCCCTGCTCGGCAGGAAGCCTGCTTCTCCCTCACCCACTCGCCCTGCTTGTGTTCCCTCTCTCGCTGTGTCTCTCTCTCTCTGTCAAATAAATAAATAAATCTTAAAAAAAAAAAAGTGTTTTTAGTTAAATGTTGAAATGACAGCATAACAAAGTTCAAGAACAGAGGGGGGCATACTAATGACTTGCCCATGGGCTACTATCTGTGATTGCTTTTCCCTCTCTCCTTAACTTCGTATTTCCAAACCTAAATGTAATCACAGTTTGCGCACCATTATTTATCCCGCTTCTTTCCTTGAACAAATCAGGGATTCCTCCATCTGTCACAGAACTTATAAACAGCGTTACGAATGGCGACAGACCATTCATCAGTTGCCTAAACAGTTTCCTACTGCTGGGCATTCAGATTGTCTCCGTATTTAGTAATTACTAATAATGCGGCAACAAACAGCCTCGAGGGGAGCTTTTTCCCAGAAGTTTCTTTTTGACACTTAAAACTCCCGCCACCCGAGCCGGTCCTGACAGCCCCGCCCGCTGCAGAGTCGTAGTCACGTGCTTAGCTCCGCCGCTAGGGTTTCTGGGAGAGCGCGCACCCGGAAGCGGAAGTCCAGGGGTCAAGTCCGTCATTTCCTTCAGCGAGAGGAGCGCAACGGATCTTTTTCCTTTGCTCGGCTCGTATCTCAGCATGAAGGAGGTAAAGAGCGAGCGGGAGCGGGGGAGCCGGCGGAGGCACCGCGACGGGGACGTGGTGGCGGCGGCGGTGGTGGTGAAGGTGAAGCAGGAGCGCCTCAGCCCGGAAGCCGCGCCTCCCGCCCACCGCCGCCCAGATTCCTCCGGCGGTAGCGCGTCCCCTCCGGCCGGCGAGCCGGGCCGCCCTGGTCACCGCGGGAACCGAGCCCGAGGAGGTAGCCGGTAAGTGGAAAGGCGCCTGGGATGGACTTGGGTCCGGCTCTTCGAGAAAAGACAGGGCTAGCGTCAGAAGCACACCTTGAATGCTGCGCGCTGCAGCTTGGATTTAATCTTAAGGTGGTGGAAGTGAGCCGGTGGTGCTTGTGCTGAAGAATGTTTACTCTGGTACCTGTCACTTGCGTTAAGCGCCTGATGCCTTATGGGTAGGATCCCGCCTCTTCATCTCTGTGCCCAGCTCTTGGCCGAGTAGGGCCCAGCAGATAGCACTGATCGAGTTGAAATCAAAGGATTTCCCCATCTGCCTGCAAATGGAGTGCTGGCGTTGGCTTTCCAATTATCTGCCCCAAAAGGTTTCCACGTTGAGAGCCTAGGCGATCTACCTGGTAGGGATTTGGAAGAAAGCTGGACTCGTTAATTTATTCCTTCAGCATAGTTTTACTGCATGCTAAAGACTGCCCTAGGTACAGGGGCCTCAAGGGTGAACAAGATAGATTGTCTTCGCCCTGGCGAAATTGATGCGCTCTCGCCTTGAGACAAAATAACAAGCAGATAAAATAGTTTCAGTTAGTAACAAGTATTAGATTAAAGAAGAGGTTAAAACAGGAGTGTGATAGAGTTTGAAGGGAAGTGAGAGAAGGCCTTCTCTGAAAAGGTGCCATTTGAGTTGAGACCCGAATGATAAGAATAATCTAGCCTCGTAAAGATCCAGGCTGAGGAAACAATGCGTGCAAAGAACCTGAAGCAGAATTAATGTGATTGTTCTAGAAATAGGGGGGACAATTGTCTATTGATCAAGGACAGTGATAGGAGTGAGGTGGGAGAGGGAGGAGATGGAGCCAGAGGACTCCCTGATGGATTGATGTGGTTGTGGCGGGTGGGAGTGGGGAGCTATTGGTGGTGAGAGAAAAAAGAGTCAAGGGTGTTTTCTAGGTTTCTGTCTTGAGGAACAGGGTGGATGGTGGTACCAGTTACTGAGATGGCAGAGACTGTGGGAGGAAAGGGTTTTGACGGGTTGGGAAGTGAGCGTTATGCTCTGTGAGAAGGTTCAGTAGGCAGCCATGTATGTGGGTCTGGAACGCAAGGAAGATGTCAGGGCTGGAGAGTGAAGCTCCCGCCTCCATTAATATGAAAAGCAGAGCCCTTCACAAATGTGCTGTTTGTGTTAGTAGGTAAGCCTGATACTTGAAGTGAATTTATATGGGGGAAGGGAAATTGAGATAAAACCCTGTGTGTACCATGCTCTGAAAAGGTCCCCAGCCAAAAAGAAAAACAAGTCCTCAGGGAGAAGAAGCAAGTCTCCTCGGAGTAAGAGAAGCCGAAGTCCTCACCACTCAACAGTCAAAGTGAAACAGGTAAGTGGATTGAGATGTTTGGATACCAGGTCCAAATCTAGAACCTCTTCCCGTCATAACAAATACATAATCATATGTGTTTACCTGTATCTGCGATGGGTTTTTCTAGAAACTGGGTTTTGTTTTTTTTTTTCCTGCTTGTTTTGTTAAACTTTTTTTATTTTGAGGTAATTGTTGATTTACATTCCGTGGTTAAAAAAAAAATACAGAGGTATACTCTTTACTCTATTTTTCCCACTGGTAACATCTTACAGAATTCCAGTACACTATCACAGGGAGAATACTGACATCGCTATAGTCACGATACAGAACATTTCCATCACCACAAGGATCCATCATGTTGCCCTTGTGTAGTCTTACCCACTTCTCTCCCACCCTTACCCCTCAAGTCCTGGCAACTTCTAATCTGTTCTCTGTCTCTATAATGTTGTCACTTCAAGAACGTTATGTAAATAGAATCATACATGTAACCTTTAGAGATTGGCTTTTTTCACTCAGTGCAGTTCTTTGAAGATTCACTCAGGTTGTTGTATCTGTCAGTAGCTCATTCCTTTTTATTGCTGAGTGATACTCAGTTTTGTGGATTTAACCATTTGCCCATTAAAGAACATCTGGGTTGTTTCCAGTTTTTGGCTGTTATATATAAGGTTGCTATGTAACATTTGTGTACAGGTTTTTGTGTGAACACCTCTTCATTTTTCTGGGATGAATGCCCAGGAGTGCAATTGTTAGAATGTATGGTAATTGCACGCCAAACTGAGTGGCTATGTTAGTTTGCTAGGGCTTCCATAACAAAGTACCACAGACTGGATACCTTAAACAACAGAAATTAATTTTCTCACAACTCTGGAGGCTAAAGTCCAAGATCAAGGTGTCAGCAGGTTTTGTTTCTTCTGAGGCCTCTTTCCTTGGCTTGCACATGCTACCTTCTTGTCTCTGTCCTCATGTGGCCAGTCCTCTGTGGGCTTATATCCTTGGTGTCTCTTCCTCTTCATATAAGGACACCAGTCATACTGGATTAGGGATTTGCTGTCATCTTAACTTAATCACGTCTTTAAAGACCTTATCTCAATAAAAAACAAAAACAAAAGCAAAAAACCCCACAAAAATGGTTAAATTCTGAGGACGGTGGTTGGGACCTCGACATATTAATTTGGGGGGGACACGATTCAGTCCTTAACAGTGACTGTACCATTTTACATTCCCACCTGTATTGTGCATGATGCAGTTTCTCTGCATCCTCATCAGCATTTGGTGTTGACGTTATTTTTTGTTTCAGCCATTCCAATAGATGTGTAGTGATATTGTGATTTTATTTACTTTTCATTTTTAATTTTAAGTAGGTTCCACACACATCGTGGGGCTTGAACTCACAACCCTGAGATCTAAAGTCCCATGCTCTACCAGCTGAGCCAGCCAGGTGCCCATCTCATTGTGATTTTACCTCTCATTGTGATTTTAATTTGCATTTCCCTTTGAGCAATCTGCTTACTTGCCCTCTGTATATCCTCTCAGGTGAAATGTCGCTTCATAATCTTTTGCCTATTTTCTACTTGGATTTTTTTGCTTTCTTAACTGTTCTGTTTGTAGAGTTCTATGTTACTAGACCATTTTGGGTACATGGTTTGCAAATAGTTCTCTCCAATTTGTAGTTTGTCTTTTTATTCACTCAGCCGGGGTTTTCTCAGAGTAAAAATGTTAAATTGTCATGAAGTCCAGTTTATCAACTTTTCCTTTTTTTTAAGTTTTTTTCATTATTTCTAAAAGATTTTATTTATTTATTTGTCAGAGAGAGCATGCGCACAAGCAGGGAGAATGACAGGCAGAGGGAGAAGCAGGCTTCCTGCTGAGCAAGGAGCCCATTGGGCTCAATCCCAGGACTCTGGGATCATGACCTGAGCTGAAGGCAGAGGCTTAACTGACTGAGCTACCCAGGTGTCCCTCCACTTTGCTTTTTATGGATTGTGCTTTCGGTGTCATGTCTAAGAACTTTTTGCCTAACTCTAGATCCCGAAGGTATGTTTTTTCCTCAAAGTTTTACATTTAAGTTCATGATTTATTTTGAGTTTGTTTTGATATAAGGCGTGAGCCTTGGGTTGAGGTTCATTTTTTTTGCCTATGAGTGTTCACTTGCTGTGGCACCATTTTTTGAAAAGGCTGTCTTTCTTCCCTT